AGCTCCCTCCCCCCCTCCCTCCATCCCTCATCCTCCCCCTCTCTGCTTCACCCAACCTCCAGCGACCCGACGTCTTCGTAACGTGGGCCCCGAGACCTCTCCAACATTCCCCTGGCGCCAGATTTCTCACATCGAACCATTGTTCGGCGATCCTGGAGCCTGCCTGAATAACGGCCTCCAGGGTCAGAAAGCAACAAGAACAACAACTCTGGCTCAATGTTCCGACGAGTTGGGACAAGCTTGAAAGTTCCTCCCTTCTCGACATCATGGTCTCCATCCTCCTCCTCATCACCAACCCCCACCGTTTGTCCTTCACCATTCATCGACTTCATCATGAACACCCACCGTCTCCTCCTCCTCCTCCTCCTCGTCATCATCATCATCATCATCATCAGCATCATCATCGTCATCATCATCATCATCATCCTCATCATCATCATCATCCTCATCATCATAAGCATCATGATCATCATCATCAGCATCATCAACATCGACAACATCAGCATCACCATCACCATCACCATCACCATCATCATCATCATCATCATCATCATCAGCATCAGCATCAGCATCATCATCATCATCCAATCACCGTCACCATCATCACCACCAACACCATCATCATAAGCATCCTCAGCATGAGCATCAGCATCAGCATCATCATCGCCATCACCATGAGCACCACAATGCTCTCCACCATCATTATCATCATCAACACCATCAACCTCAGCATCAGCATTATCATCATCGTCATCATGATGATCATCATGAGCAGCAGCATCGCCATGCTCACCACCATGATCCCCACCATCATCAACATCGACAAATCGTCACAATCATCATCATCATCATCATCATCATCATGAGCAGCATCATCATACCACAATGTTCCCCACCAACGTCGTCATCATCACCATCATCATCATCATCATCATCATACCCATCACCCGAATGATCATCATCACCAACATTGCCAATATCACCATCAGTGATCTCATCGTCATCGTCACCATCGCCGACACCGTATCACAAGGTTCGAACATAAGCACGACTACCGCCATCATCAGCATCGTCATCAGCATCACGATCTTTATCAACATCATCAGCCCCATGCTCCCCGCCATCATCAAGATCGGCAACATCAGCAGCATCAGCATCAGCATCGTCCCCATGATCACAACCATACCCCCACCATCATCGTCATCATCATCACCCGTATCATCCTTATCCACGACATCATCCGTATCAACACTGGTAGCAACATCATCATCATCAGCAGCATCAGCATCATCATCGTCAACATCATCAGCATCGTCATCCTCATCCTCATCAGCATCATCTTAATCATCAGCACCATCATCATCGTTGTCACCATAAGCGACACCGTATCATCATCACAGCATGAAAACATGTTCCTGATCACCGCCAGCATCATAATCGTCATCAGCACCATCGTCATGATGATCAGCATCAGCATCAGCATCATCATCGTCATCATCATCATCATCATCATCAGCAGCATCCGCATCATCATAATCGGCAGTATCATCATCGTCGTCGTCGTCCTCTGCCTCCTCCTGTCTCGTTTGGGAACTGCTTGGCTCGTCAGCCAAAGCTCCTGCGCGTCAAGGGAGCAGCGAAATGAAACGAGCAACAGAGCTGATGGCAGGCGTCGGCAACGACGACAAGTTTCGGCGCGTGGCCCACTGTCGACAAAGTGCCGAGCCTCCTCTGCCGCCTTCTTCTCCTCCGTCTCCCTTCATCCTCAATCCGTCATCCTCTTCTCTCTCCTCCTTCATCATTCATTCCCCCCCTTCCTCCTTCCTCCTTCCTCCATCCTCCTCCTCCTCCTCCTCCTCCTCCTCCTCCTCCTCCTCCTCCTCCCACCCCGCCCCCAGCTCTCCAGCACGTCGAGCACCACGTCGGGCAACTTGCCGCTGTCGGGGCGCACCTTCAACATGCCCTTGCGCGCCTCGACTGTGGCCTCGGCGCCAGGGGGCGCCCCCGAGTGGAAAAGGAGAAGTAGAGAGAGAGAGAGAGAGAGAAAAAAAAACAAAAAAGGGACACACGCGCACGCACGCACGCACGCACGCACGCACGCACGCACGCACGCAAACACGCACACACACACACAAACAAACACAGTGACCATGACCAAGACAACGCGGACACGTCGGCGCCGATCTTGGTCACCGTTCATCTTGGTCACCGTTGATTTCTTGCTCATCCTCGCGAATCGGCGACGGCCAGCATAGACCATTGCCAAGATCGGCGTCGATAGGATCCCTCGACTTCTTGGCCACAGTCGGCGTGCTTCCCCCCCTCAACCAAAAGGATGGTGGGAGGATGCGGGCGGGACGGAGGAAGGACGTAGGAGGTACAGTCGACCGCGCGCGCCCGCTTTGGAGGACTTCAGGACCTCCTCCTCCTCCTCCCCCTCCTCCTCCTCCTCCTCCTCCTCCTCCTCCTTCTCCTCCTCCTCCTCCTCGACCAGAAGGACGTAGGATTGGAAGGACGCGCGAGAGGACCAACGAGCCTTCCGCGGGCCGCACTGTCATGGGAATGCAGGAAGCGGGGGTCGTTGAACACAGGACACAAGTGTGCACTGGATTTGCTACTCTGGGTTTCTTAATAAAACGTGGGGGGGGTCCCCCCCCGATGGGGGGCAACCTCGCCTCGTCGTCGCGCCGCGACGGGGGTCGAAGCGCCTTTGGCGCGCGGTGGCTGCCCGCGACGGGGGTCGATGTGGGGCTGTCGGCGGGGGTGCCGCCCCCCCGACACTTATTAAGAAACTCGGAGTAGGGTCGACCTGCTAATCGAACTCGACTGTAGGCCAAGACATACAACGTCTTGAAACGTTCCAAGCGGCAGGGTTCCGCCGTGCTCGGAATGTTGGGGCCACATTCGGGCCCCAGGACCCTCAAAAAACGCCTCGGGACGACAAGCAGACCCTGGGGAAGGGCCCTGACTTCTGGGAACCCCGCGCTAAAAACATCAAGGCGTCGGATATCTGGGGGCCTACTTCCTACCCCTCCCCTCCCTCTCTCCCCCTTCCCCGTCTCGTCTCTCTCAAGTTACCCCCACTTCCCTCTATCACCCCTCCCTGCTTGGTGAGGGGGGGAGGGAGGGAAGGGGGGAGGAAGGGGTGGAGGGAGGGAGGGAGGGAGGGAGGGAGGGAGGGCATGGAGGTGAGGGATGGGGGACGGATGGGGGGAGGGGGAGAGAGAAAGAGGGAGAGAGAGAGAGAGGAGGGATGGAGGGAGAGGAGGGAGGAGGGATGGAGGGAGAGGAGGGAGAGGAGGGGGGAGGAAGAGGACGGCCGAGGGACAGAGGGGGAGGGAGAGGCAGGGAGGAAGGAAGGCCGCCGGCCGAGTGGGCCGCCTCTCCTCGGGCCTTGGGCGGGGCCTGGGCCGGCCGGGTCCCCAAGAAGCCGTCCGCGGGAAGCCCAGCCCTGAGGCCCCTCCTCCTCCTCCTCCTGCTCCTCCTCCTCCCCCTCCTCCTCCTCCTCCTCCTCCTCCTCCTCCTCCTCCTCCTCCTCCTCCTCCTCCTCCTCCTCCTCCTCCCCCTCCTTCTCCTCCTCCTTTTCCTCCTCCTGACGTCCATTGGCTTCTCGTGGGACGTCACGATTTCCATGGCAGACCCATCGAAGCCCAAGAAACCCAGGGCACCCTGGAGGCAAGCAGGGCTTCTCCTGGCACGGGTCTCCGCTGTGCTCGGCGGCGAGCGAGCGGGGGGGAAGTGAGAAGGGGGCGGGCCATCTCAGAAGGCTCGGAAGTCCCACGGCCTTCTTGACTACCTACCAGACCACCCCAACCCAACCCGAAGACCCGAATGTCGGGTTGGGGGTGGGGGGGTAAGGGTTCCACATGTGTTTTTTCGATGTTCCCCGACCCCCCCCCACTGGAAATCGAGGGTAAATCTGGGCCTTCGGGTTGGGTTGGGGTGGTTTGGTGGGTGGTGACTTCTGGGAAGTAGTCTGAGCCTTTCCCGAAGACATCCAAGAAACCTCTCGGACGGCGCGAAGGCTTCTGAGGAGTGCCGCCACCTTCTGAGAGAAGGCCTTACCCTTCTCACGTCCCTCCCTCGCTCGCCCCCGATCTACAGTCGGGGCGTTGACCTAAGGGATCCAAAATAAGGAACGAGGCCCCTTTTTTCCACAAGTTAAACTTCGATTTCGTATCGAAAACATAAGGAAAGCCTGAGGCAAGCTGCGAAACACTTAAGGAACGCGGAGCCCCTCCCCAACGAAAAGGGTTCCTTCTTCAAGGCCCCGACTGTACACAATCAGCCCGTCCAACAAGGACGCATGGTGAGGATGCAAGCCGACACTGTGCGAGCGGGGCGCGGCCAGCGACGGCGGCCCAAGGATGGGCCGAAGGCGAAGGATGCGAGGGTACAGTGAGGGTCTTGACCTAAGGAACTCAAAATAAGGAACGAGGCCCCTTTTTTCCACAAATTAAACTTCGATTTCTTGTCGAAAACATAAGGAAAACTTGAGGCAAGCTGCGAAACACTTAAGAAACGCGGAGCCCCTCCCCAGCGAAAAGGGTTCCTTCTTCAGGGCCCCGACTGTAACCTTGGGAAGTTGCTCATCCTTGCAGTGCGAGTTAATTGCAGTGGGACCTGGTTCCCAGACCCCCTGGAGGCAGGACACAGTCACGACGGGGAGCCGTTCGCCAACTTCAGCCTCCAGGGGCACTTACCAGGCCTCGAGACCGTCAAGAGGAAGACTGAGGATGAAAAACCAGTCAGGGGGAATGGGTCGAGACCTCTGGGGGTCAACGCTACGTACCATTGATTTTTTTCCCTAACATAAATAATTCGCTGAGCAATTAATGCTGTAGCTGTACTGTAGGGTGCTACAGTAAATAATTCGCTGAGCAATTAATGCTGTAGCTGTAGCTGTAGCTGTAGCTGCGACGAAGCTTTCGCGCGGCGTTTTTTTTTCTGTTTTTTACGACGCCGGGAGGTCTGGGCCAGGAAGGAAAAAGGAGTTAGAAAGGAATTTGATCAGGGATTTCATAAGTTAGAAAGGAATTCAGCTTTTTTGCGTTAAATTTGTTTTTTTACGACGCCAGGAGGTCTGGGCCGGGGAAGAAAAAGGAGTTATAAAGGAATTTGATAAGGAATTTCAAGAGTTAGAAAGGAATTCCGTTGTTGGGGTCGTATTTTTTTGTTGTTATATATATATATATATATAAACGACGCCGAGATGTCTGGGCCAGGAAGGAACAAAAAGGAGTTAGAAAGGAAATTGATAAGGAATTTCCAGAGTTAGAAGGGAATTTCGTTTGGGGTGTTGTTTTTAAACAAACAAGAAACGACGCCAGGAGGTCTGGGCCAGGAAGGAAAAAGGAGTTAGAAATGAATTTAATAAGGAATTTCAAGAGTTAGAAAGGAATTTCGTTTTTGGTGGTGTTTTTTTTGTTTTGTTTTTTTTACGACGCCGAGAGGTCTGGGCCAGGAAGGAAAAAGGAGTTAGAAAGGAATTTAATAAGGAATTTCAAGAGTTAGACAGGCATTTCGTGTTTTGGAAATTGTTTTTTGTTTTGTTTTTTTACGAGTTAGAAATGAATTTGTTTTTGGAAAACAACCCCGAAACACGAAATTCCTAACTCTTGAAATTCCTTATTCAATTCCTTTCTAACTCCCTTTTTCCTTCCTGGCCCAGACCTCTCGGCGTCGTAAAAAAAACAGACCCCCGAGAAAAAAAACAACCAAAAAAACAAAATCCCTTTCTAACTCTTGAAATTCCTTATTCAATTCCGTTCTAACTCCCTTTTCCTTCCTGGCCCAGACCTCTCGGCGTCGTAAAAAAACAAAACAAAAAACAGACCCAAAAAAAACGAAATTCCTTTCTAACCCTGAAATTCCGTATTAAATTCCTTTCCAACTCCTTTTTCCTTCCTGGCCCAGACCTCTCGGCGTCGTAAAAAACAGAACAAAAAAAACAACCCCAAAAAAAACAAAATCCTTTCTAACTCTTGAAATTCCTTATTGAATTCCTTTCTAACTCCGTTTTCCTTCCTGGTCCAGACCTCTCGGCGTCGTGCATAAAAAACAAAACAAAAAAAAACAACACAGAAAAAAAAACAAAATTCCTTTCTAACCCTTGAAATTCCTAATTAAATTCCTTTCTAACTCCTTTTTCCGTCCTGGCCCAAACCTCTCGGCGTCGTAAAAAAAAAAAAACGAAACGAAAAACAACCCCAAAAAACGAAATTCCTTTCTAACTCTTGAAATTCCTTATTCAATCCCTTTCTAACTCATTTTTCCTTCCTGGCCCAGACCTCTCGGCGTCTTAAAAAACAAAACAAAACAACAACCCCCAAAACGAAATTCCTTGCTTGCTAACTCTTGAATTTCCTTATCAAATTCCTTTCTAACTCGTTTTTTCCTTCCTGGCTCAGACCTCTCGGCGTCGTAAAAAAACACCAAAACAACCCAAAAAACAAAATTCCTTTCTAACTCTTGAATTTCCTTATCGAATTCCTTTCTAACTCCTTTTTCCCTTCCTGGCCCTGGCTTCCTCGGGCAATTCGGACTCGATTGTCTTTGAGGTTCAGAACTATCTCTGGTATTCAAATTCCTTTCTAACTCAGGAAATTCCTTATCGAATTCCTTTCTAACTTCCCAACTCAATAGAAATGCATAACCAAAATGCTCTTGGCAATATTTCGAGCCTACAGTATTAATTCCCGACACAATTATTGATGTAATTGCATACAGTGCGCACTACAAAAATAATTCCGAAACCAATTAAAGCTGTACTGTAACCAAAAAAATCAATGGCATTCAGAATTTATGCCGTCGGGGGTCTGGGTTTGGTGATGTGTCCCAGCGGACGCCCCCCCCTTGTTCCAAGACCCCATTCCAAGAACCCGAACTGCCGCCGCCCGTGGTGGGCGTATAGGCGAGCCAGGACGCTTCGCCACTGCTTGAATCTACTCCGACCCCATC